CCTACTGGGTTGTCAGACCTTTTCCCAGGACCATCCCTACTCTACTTGGAATTGTAACTTGCTGGGTCCATTCCACTTCCCATTTGGCCTGACTTCATGCTTTTCAATTAATAGGGCCTATAGTTTGAAAAGTCATGCACAAAATCCTTAAGAAGTGGGTTGGGGGCAGAAGTCTATCCTGAGGTCTTCCTGGCCATGAGGGCCTAGACATTGGCTATGGCCCTACAAGTCCTATCAAAGTACAAGGTGCTAGACAGAGCAGTGTTTTTCAACCTTCCTAATGCTGTAACCCTTTAATATGGCACCAACCATAAAATTATTTTCCTTGCTACTTCATAACTATAATTTTGTTACTGCTATGAATCATAATGTAAATATCTTGTTTTCCAATGGTCTTAGGCAACCCCTGTGAAAGGGTCATTAGATCCCCAAAGGAGTGGTGACCCATATATTGAGAACTGCTGTGCTAGAGGAACAGCTTACAGCAACTGGATTATCATTTCAAATGCTGTATCCCTTGACATGCATCTGCAGGGGACACATGAGACACCTACTTGGAAAAGATGACCATCAGCTTCCTCCGGCTTCTCCTTGGCTCTGAGTCCTCATCAAACCCATCCATGTCCTTCCCCAGGAAAACCTCCTGGTGGAAGTCCCTGTTCAGATGTCCATCCATCTCTAGTTTCACCCCATTCAAGTGGTCTGGGGGTAGGATCTCATTTTCCTCCCTGTTGGCTGCTCTTTCCCGAGTGGATGAGTGGTTGGCAGGTCTAGCAGATGCATCCATCAACAGGACAAGGCCCAAGAGCCAGAGGCCATGAGCAGCCAGACCACAGAGGGAATTCTGCCTGGACGTCATTGCCACCAGCCAGACCATGGGACTCCTGCAAGGTGTGAACCAGAAGTAGCAGTAAGGAAGAAAGGGAAATCATAGCTCAAACTAGAGCCTGTGATACTACAAAGGTTCTGAGTTACTAGCACTGCCAAGAAAGCTGAAGGTTGATGGCAGGCTCAGCCTGACAGTCTACAAAGAAGACAGACCAGGCCAGGTGGTAATGGCACATCCCAACACTCGGTGAATCTCTATGTGTTCGAGGCCAGTTTGGTTTACAGATCAAGATTCAGGACAGCCAGGGCTACACAGAGAAACATTGTCTGGGGGGCAGGGAGGGCATATTTATTTTATAACATGATTTAATAATCAGGACCAACTACATATTCAAGTGAGGTATGACGGCATTTATCTTTAATCCTAGCACATAGGAGGTAGTCACAGGTGGATCTCTATGAGTTCAAGACCAGTCTGATCTAACAATGTAAGTTCTGAGTCAGTCATGGATAAACAGTAAAATCCTGTCTCAAAAAACAAACAAAATCCACACATATGGAGCTGGGACTGTAGCTCAGTGGTTAGTAGTACCACAGGAAAAAAGATGAAAAGGGAAAAGGAAAAAAGAAAGACAACAAATGATATTTTTACTTTTAAAAAAGAAACTGGAGGAATGTTCTTTGGGCTGCCAACCAACTCCCAAATAAAGACACAGAGACTTCTTAATTATGAATGTTCAGTCTTAGCTTAGGCTTGTCCCATTAGCTTTTTTTGTTTGTTTTGTTTTTTGTTTTTGTTTTTCAAGACAGGGTTTCTCTGTGTAGTTTTGGTGCCTGTCCCGGATCTCACTCTGTAGACCAGGCTGGCATTGAACTCACAGAGACCCACGTGGCTCTGCCTCCCGAGTGATGGGATTAAAGGCCACCACCGCCCAGCCCATTAGCTCTTTTAATTTAACCTGTTTCTATTCATCTACATTTTGCCTCGAGGCTTTCTTTCATTCTGTATGTCCTACTTTCCTGATTCCTGTGTCTATCCGTCTGGCCACTGGCATCTCCCTATCGTCTCTTTTTCTTTCTCCTTGATCCTAAATTCCTCCTCCTCCTTACTCTCCCTGCCTGGAAGTTCCACCTATACCTCCGCCCTGGCTATTGGCCATTCAGCTTTTTATTAGACCAATCAGGTGCCTTAGGCAAGCAGGGTTAAAACGGCAACACATCTTTACATAACTAAACAAGTGCAACACACATCTTTGCATAGTTAAACAAATATTCTGCAAAAGAGGAATGTACTTGGCCAGGCTGAAGTTCCAACTCAAATTTGTTACTACTTCCAGGTGCTGATCTATCCAGTACCTTACCCCCACATACCAACAGTACAGCCTGCCAACAATACAGCAAAGCAAATGACCTCATCCATCCCTGATTACTATTACAGTATTCAGCATACGGCTGTGGTCATTCACTCTCCAGATCCCAACTTGAACACCAAGCTCTGAGACCTTGGTTAAGTAATCTGACCTTCCTGTGTCTATTTCTCACTAATCGTCCCATAGTTTCCACCTCAGTGTTTTGTGTGGAGTGGGAACCTATGTACACTCTGTGCTGGACCTATGTACACTCTGTGCTGAACAACTGAAAATTGTGGTCATGAGCAAACACTTGCACCAACCCAGCAGAGACTACACATATACATCTATACTTGTGCCTGCATCAACATATTTCTTCACTCATGTTCACCGAGAAACATTAGTAAAGTTGAAGTGTCCAGTAAGTCTTATTTGACCAGAACATGGAAAACACATTTTTCTTCCCACAGTCTATCTTCCTGCCTATTTGCTGGCCTTCGGAGTGCAGCCTAGTCCCACCTATGTGTGGGAGCTGTCTCCCGTTCTGCCCCTGGAAAGGACTCTGTCTGACTTAGCTTGTTTATCCCAACATTGCCAAGCTATTAGAACCTAAAAGACATTCAATCAATGCTGTCTCCAGAAACAATAAATATTACTCAAAAGCATAGAGTAAAGTCAATGAAACAGTACTTAAGATGTGTCCTGGGATGTTGGACAGCTTGCCAAGAGCCAGGAGCTAAAGGAGTCTGTTGTTACCCAGGGCAAGGAGCCCTGAGATGTAGCTGTATTCCTCATGTTTCTATTCTTCAGGCCATGTAAACACCAGAACCAAGGCAACTTCCTCCTAGTATTAACTGTACTTTGCTCCTTGAAAAAACAAAGTTCTCATTCTAACTATTTTGATAAACTCTGTGGAACAGTCAGTTACTCATACATCTTACATAAAAAGCAACCAAAAGCAACCAGGACTCCATCAGCTGACTTTCTCATATTGGTTCAGTTTTTTTCCTTGCCATGCTAGACAAGTATTCTGCCATGGAATAACATTCCCCACTACTATCCCACAATGGTTATTTATCTTAATGCAAAAGTTTGCCACATGGCTAAACAAGTTGGGCAGCTGCTTCCTCCCCACCTGACCTGAAATCCCTAAGTCAGGATTTCAAGGAGCTTTATCTTGTCATAGCCCCTACACACATCTGTTCTCAACAAGTAGTCAACAGGAAGCTACTAACACCTGCAGTAAAGGTGACAATGGTACCTCTTGATCTGTCATCAATCGTAGTCCAATGACATTTCCAAAGTAAGTCACAAATGTTCGAGTTTATGATTAGTTGTTAATCTCTGCCTGGGCCTACTTTATAAGTTAAATTTTGTTGTAACTATGTATAGGAATAAACCTGAGGTTTCAAGGGGGTTTTGTTGTTGTTTGTTTGTTTGTTTGTTTTGGTTTTTCGAGACAGGGTTTCTTTGTGTAGCTCTGGAGCCTATCCTAGAACTCGCTCTGTAGACCAGGCTGGCCTCAAACTCACTGAGATCCGCCTGCCTCTATGCTGGGATTAGGCATGAGCCACTTCTGCCCAGCTGAGGTTTCAGGTTTCAGGCACCCACAGGGTGGTTGGGGGGAAATACTTGTACTTCTTTGCAACCCTTACATTACAATTCCAGTGAAACATTTCTTTTTGTTTGCTTGCTTTTGTTTTTGTTTTGAGACAGGGTCTCACTATGTTGCCTTGCTTGACCAGGAATGTGCCCAGTAGACCAGGATAGTCTTGAAAGTGTGGCAAACCTCCTGCATGCTGGGATTACAGGCAAGAGGATCAAGAGTTCAAGACCAGCCTCAGGTACATAGTAAATTCAGGCCAATCTGGGCTACATGAGACCCTGTCTCAAAACGAGCAATAACAACAGCAAAAGGAGAAAATAAAGAAAAAAAATTAGAAGAAAAAAGACCATCACAATCTAAAAAACAACAACATAGTCTAAAACAGTCCAAAAACTGTTAGGGGGCTGGTGTCTTAGCCCAGTAGTAGAGCATTTGCCCAGCATTTGTGAGGTCCTGGATTCGATCTCCTCCAGCAACACAAAAATAAGAATGTAAATAAAAATAAATAAATAAAAGATCTGTCAATTTAGGAACTGCACTCAATAGTACCCAAGAGAACTACCACTAGAGCCGGGCCAGGTACGAAGGTTTTACACAGGCCTTCAATTTCCAACTCGTACTACTAGAACTCATGGCGCACATTTTACCGAAGATGAAACCGAGTTAAAGATGCTGGACCACAAGTTGAGGGCACAACGTCAGCCGGTAACAGAGCCCCGAGCCTCAGTCCCCCCGCGGCACCGTGAGTTCCGGAAGAAGCAGCCGGGCAAGAGGGCGGGCGCACTCTTTAACAAGGAGATCGCGGGGTCAAGCGGGCTCAGACCCAAAGCAACCCAAACAGTGGACGAGTGGCCTTTAAGCCCGCCCCTCACAAAGCAGTTTCAGGGACCCCCTCACTCACCCCCCGGCTTTCTGATGCGCCGGGTCTAGGGAGCGCAGCTGGGCGCCCGCGAAGTCGTACGCGGACCTAGGCTCAGGCCGCCGCCATCTTTCTTCCGGGAAAGGGCGAGAAAGACAAACAGGAACCGTGAGAGGTGGCACGGCCTCAGGCGTGAATCTCGGCGCCGCCATCTTTTTCATGGGCGGAAGCAGCCGCTGAGAAACAACCAATAAAAATGGCGCGCAAGGTCACGTGTCAAGGATCCTTGACCTAGGCCTCGCCTTCAACAACGCCCTGGATGTCAGATCCTGGAAGTCCAAGCACTCAGTCACTGGGTGCTTTGGGACTCCTCCTACCACTACGAGACCAAGCCCGCTATGCAGGTCTCCGAGTAGCGCAGACGCCTTCCAGCCTCCGCGCCTGCGTACTCGGTGCCCTCCCTCCCGCACCATGAAGGTACTCCGGCGCTCATGGCGGCGCCGGGTGGTGCTGGCCCTAAGCGGCCTAGCGTTTTGCAGCACCACTCTGTTATATTTGGCGCGCTGTGCTTCCGAGGGCGAGACGCCCGCAGCCGCTGGAGCCGCTCAACCCCGCGAAAAGGCCTTCCTGGCAGTGCTAGTGGCCAGTGCGCCCCGCGCGGTTGAGCGCCGCAGCGCGGTGCGCAGCACGTGGCTGGCACAGGGGAGGCGCGGCGGCCCTAAGGACGTGTGGGCGCGCTTTGCTGTGGGCACCAGTAGCCTGGGCACAGAGGAGCGGCGCACACTTGAGCTCGAGCAAGCACAACACGGGGACCTGCTGCTGCTGCCCGCCCTGCGCGATGCCTACGAAAACCTCACGGCCAAGGTCCTGGCCATGTTGACTTGGCTGGACGAGCACGTGGACTTCGAGTTCGTGCTCAAGGCGGATGACGACTCCTTTGCGCGCCTGGACGCCCTATTGGCAGAGCTACGCGCACGTGAGCCTGCACGTCGCCGTCGCCTCTATTGGGGCTTCTTTTCTGGGCGTGGGCGAGTCAAGCCCGGAGGTCGCTGGCGAGAAGCTGCCTGGCAACTCTGCGACTACTACCTGCCCTATGCTCTGGGTGGTGGGTACATCCTCTCTTCGGACCTGGTGCATTACCTGCGCCTCAGCCGCGAATACCTGCGCGCGTGGCATAGTGAAGATGTATCGCTGGGCGCCTGGCTGGCACCAGTGGATGTGCAGCGGGAGCATGACCCACGCTTCGATACAGAGTACAAATCACGGGGCTGCAGCAATCAGTACCTGGTGACACACAAACAGAGCCCGGAGGACATGCTGGAGAAGCAACAGACGCTGCTTCACGGGGGCCGATTGTGCAAGCAAGAGGTGCAGTTGCGCCTCTCCTATGTCTATGATTGGTCAGCGCCACCCTCCCAGTGCTGCCAGCGCAGGGAGGGCATTCCCTGATGTCATTGCATGTGCTGTGGCCTCTCTGGACACAGGCCAAGCTGCCTGGACAATCTGGCCAATTGTCTGGGTGAGCCTGGTTTATCCAATAACTGTTGAGGCCTTGGGACCTCAGTCCACTTACTGATGGCCAGAGGCAGCTATCAACATCTAGTCCATGCCCTGGAGGGTGTGCTCATTAGTGGTCTTGTGTAAGACCTGTCCAGGGGCATCTGGTTATGGATTTGTAGATTGCATCTGCACCCCACACACACCTCCAGCCAGTGTAATGCCACCTATCAGCCATCTGAGGTGTGAGGGCAGGGGGCCTCCTCACTTGATGAGTTTATAGTACTGAATTCTGTCTCTACTTACACTATGCAGCTCACTGCCCATCTTGAATGTTCTACACAGCCCTGTCTGCAGAGTGACCTGCAGACTGTGTTGAATTTATCTGTGTATTGCCATCAAAATGTTATTTGCCTAAATGGTCATTGTATTGTTTGGACAAAGTTCCATTCTATGTGTCTCCTGTCTTTATCCTTTGTCATGTACAAGTCTGACATATGACTTGATTTTCAAGTCAGCTAGCTTAGATAGTATTTTTGTCTCTGAAGATAGTTTGGTAAATATAATTCAGTTTGGTTGAAACTTATTTATAAATACTGTAAACTTGTGTAGATAAGAATTTTAAGTTGAAAGCTGTGTGGTGGTGGTGGTGGTGGTGCTGCTGCTGCTGCTGCTGCACACCTTTAATCCCAGCACTTTGGAGGCAGAGACAGGCAGATCTCTGAGTTTGAGGCCAACCTGCTCTGCAGAGAGAGTTTCAAGACAGTCAGGGCTACACAGAAAAATCCTATCTCAACCCCCATCCCACCCCCCAAAAAATTAAGTTGAGAGTGTACAAGTTTTAATTTTTGTTAACTATTTAAGAAAAATACTTTATTATCAGAACTTATATCTTTGGATTAATCTATCAACAACCTGAGTGGCCAACCCCACTGCTGGGTGTATGTAAAACATAGAAGATTGTTTAAACTGTCCATTTCTCTTTCAGGTTACACATAAGTCCCTTCATTTTTGTTTTTTCTGAACAGACTACTTTTAAGGCTTTTCAGAGAGCACGAGCTTATGGACTGTAAGGCAATCCACAATCAGGATGTCCACACTAAGTTTGCTTTTCAGATATGCTTGGTTTATTCACACAAACATTCCTAACAATATCATGTCAATATAGAAGTTAAACAGATGTCTCAGCTGGGTGGTTGTGGCACTTGCCTTTAATCCCAGCACTTGGAAGGCAGAAACAGGTGGATCTCTATGAGTTCGAGGCCAATCTGGTCTACTAATTGAGTTCCAGGACAGTTGGGGCTACACAAAGGGACTAACCCTGTCTCGAAAAACCAAGGGAAAAAAAAATGCTGCTGTAGGGTTCCACTGAGTAACCTCCAGTGAATACATTTTTGAAGTGTGCAGGCTTGACCACTGCCCATGTGAAGTCCTTCAGTTGTGGTAGACTGGGAGGATGGCACTGGTAGAAGTCCAGGAGGTCCTTGAGAGTATAGGCCAATGGTTAGCACTGACAGGAGGGCCAAAATGGGTGAAGCAATAGTGCCACAAGTTCAGAGGTCACTGAGGCCAGGGCCACAAAAAGAGTCTCAAGTCCTCTTGGTATCAACACAGGCTATAGAAGCCTTGTTGCAGGAGCTTGGCTGTGTGATCCTAGAGACACAAACTAATTTGGATCCTAGATTCCAAACTAATTTTTGTATCATTTCATTGGGAAGTCACTTTGGATAACGGTTCATTGGCATATCAACACCACCTTCTGGTTAGCTTATTAGCATATCAAGGCCCGTCCTGAACTAGGCTCATATTTGAGCTGCCATTTGGGCTGCCAGGGGGCTGGCTTCTGAGGCCTGGCTATTACCAAAGCTGTCAGGTGACAAACTCAAGCATCATATTATTTCAAGTCACACAAAATGACTTTTGAGTTACACAGCATGGTTTTTAAGCTGTGTTCCATACAGGCTTCCAAAAAGGCCTCCAGATTCCCTTTTTCTCATTCAGCAGTTTCAGGAATCCAAACCCTTGAAGAGGTGAGGAGATTTCTCAGATTCTGCTTTAAGGAAATAGTATTTGCTACCTAGCACCCTAACCACATGAACTATAACAGCTAATATTGCATACCCCCTTTTAATGTAAAAAAAAAAAATTAATGGTATACTTATAAAAATATAAGGTGGTTCCAGGATAAATGGGCAATCTGAGCTGGACTTAACATCGAGCTTTGGATGATGATGTTGCAATCTCTGCTATTTTAATGGGACCAATGTTTGGGGTTTTTTTGGTTTTAGATTTTATTTTGTTTTTGTTTTTGAGACAGAGTCTAGATATATAGCCTAGACTGGACTTGAACTCAGTCCTCCTGCCTAATCTGAGTACTGGGATTACAGGCATAAACCACCAAGCCCAGTTTATATCAAGTTGTTGGTTTGTTTGTTTGTTTTGGTCTGTGTAGCCTGCGTGTATTCCTGCCTGGCCTCTGCTGTCCCATTTGGGGTACTGTGGATGGGGAGAGACATGCTGACTGCCTGTCATCAACTTGCTTTTAAATTCTCAGGCTGTGAACTTGAGCATGTTTGGATTCTTTCTTTTCCTTTCTTTTGTTCATCTGCCGTTGCCCCCACCCCCTGCCCCTTTTTTTAAAACCATGCCTCATTGGGTTATTTTCTTTAAAGATAGAATATTCAGTACTGGAGTGTAAAGCCCTGGATCTGAAAAAAAAGGGTGCTCTTGTTAGTGATTGTGATTCTCCTGTATTTATAGTGTGAGGTAATCAAGTTTTGAGGCCTATAGGGATCAGATTAGGAGGCCTAATACACTTTCTGCTGGGTTCCTGAAGATAGAATGAGCTGGCCTGTATATACATTGTTCTTAGAGTCTGTGAGATCCAATGGGACTTAAAGGAGCCATGCCGTCTGTGGTAGTTTGAATAAAATGGTCCCCATAGGCCCATAGGGAGTGGCACTATTAGGAGATGTGGCCGTGTTGGAGTAGGTATGACTTGGTTAGAGGAGGTGTGTCACTGGACGGGCTTTGAGGTCTCAGAAGCTCAAGCCAGTTCACTTCCTGCTGCCTGCAAATCAAAATGTAGAACTCTCAACTACCTCTCCAGCACCACATCTGACTGCACACCACCATGTTTCCCGCCATGATGATAATGGACTAAACCTTTGAACTGTAAGCCAGCCCCAATTAAATGTTTCCCTTTATAAGAGTTGCTGTGGTAATGATATCTCTTCACAGCAGTAAAACCCCTAAGACATGTTCACAGGGCTGGTAGCTTTCTAGAGATATTGATAGCAGGACCAAGACTCATACCAGCCATTATCTCCTGAAATGTTTCACCTGAACCTTGGAATTGTTTGAGGAATGGTTAGGTCTCTGTCCTTCAGATAAAGAAATGAGCTTGAAGAGACTGAACAACATGGAGGGCCATGTGGCCATAGGCAGCCAGGACTCAAGCTAAGGGCTCCAGATGACTGTACAGAAAACATGGCACAGTACTAAAATAAAAGATAGAAAGTCTATAGATGTCCACAGTTTATGTAGGCTGCAGAGATGATTGAGTCAATAAAGTACTTGCCATGTAATCATGAGGACCAGTTTGACCTCTACCCCTGGCACCCATGTAAAAAGCTGGGTATAATGGTATGGGCTTGTAATCCCAATATGAAGGGAGGCAAAAATAAGAATGCCCCTGAGACTGGCCAGCCAGACTATTGGTGATCCCCAGGACCCAATATAAGAACCTGTCTCAAAAATAAAACAAGGTAGACAACTCTTGAGATATACTCAAAGTTGACCTCTATCTAGCCTCCATGTGTAGCTAGAGTTTTCCTTCCTGGCCCACAGTCAGGACAAATCTCTGTCACCCGCCAGTCCCACAGCTGCTCAGACCCAACTAAGTAAACACAGAGACTTATATTGCTTACAAACTGTATGGCCGTGGCAGGCTTCTTGCTAACTGTCCTTATATCTTAAATTAATCCATTTCTATAAATCTATACCTTGCCACATGGCTCGTGGCTTACCGGCATCTTCACATGCTGCTTGTCATGGCGGCGGCTGCCAGTGTCTCCCTCCGCCTTCCTGTTCTCTCAATTTTCTCTGTTAGTCCCGCCTATACTTCCTGCCTGGCCACTGGCCAATCAGTGTTTTATTTATTGACCAATCAGATTACATACAGACCATTCCACAGCATCCATGCAACAACAAAACCCCATACTTTTTTTTTTTTTTTTGCTAACTTTTCAGGGTGTTGTGTGATACTATTTCTGGGGAGACAGACATCTACTCATTACACTGTGTCCATTGTGTACCACATGGAAACATGAGGAAGGAGAGAGCTTGTGAAACAGCAAAGCCTTTAATAAATCTTCACACAAGTGTGGTTGCTGATCAATCAGAGCTGCAGGACAAGGACTCAGGAGCATTGTTTCTCCTGGCAGCCCTGAGCAGGGGCAGAAGCAGAGTTTCCAAGCATAAATACCATAAACATCTGTTGCCAAGTCACAGTTACAATTTTGCACCCATCGGGATTCAAGGATTAGGGGCTTTCCTTGTGTGTTCCATCATTTTCAACTGACACAGAATGTAAGCTTTTAAGTTCAACTTGCTGTGGGATGGTCTTTCTGTGCACTGTGAATATGTGTTGCTCTCGCTGGTTGATAAATAAAGCTGTTTTGGCCAACAGCCAGGCAGAATAAGGTTTAGAAGGTATAATCAAACTGAAGACAGATATGAAGAAGGGTGGAGTCAGGGCAGATGCCTGCCAGCCAGCCGCTGAGGAAGCAAGATGCTGTGGGATGTTCTGTATGGCAAATGTGTTGCTGATTAGTCAATAAATAAAACACTGATTGGCCATTGGCTAGGCACGAAGTGTAGGCGGGACAAGAAGGAGAATAAAGCTGGGAAGTGGAAGGCTGAGTCAGAGAGACACTGCCAGCCGCCACGATGAGAAACAGCATGAGAAGATTCCGGTAAGCCACGAGCCACATGGCAAGGTATAGACTTATAGAAATGGATTAATTTAAGCTGTAAGAACAGTTAGCAAGAAGCCTTCCACGGCCATATAGTTTGTAACCAATATAAGTCTCTGTGTTTACTTGGTTGGGTCTGAGAGGCTGTGGGACTGGCAGGTGAGAGAGATTTGTCCTGACTGTGGGCCAGGCAGGAAAACTCAAGCTACAGCAAGATGTGTAGAAAATAGGGTAGCAAGCCATGAACAATGTGGAAAAGCATAGATAAGAAATATAGGTTAATTTAAATATATGAGCTAGCTAGTAATAAGCCTGAGCCATCAGCCAAGCATTTATAATTAATATAAGCCTCTGAATGTTTGTTCAGGAACTGGCAGACAGGAGAGAACATGGTACTCCAACCTATGGCCCATACATCCACATATAAAGCCTGAGAAAGTTTAAAAGGGGGGGATCTAGAACACATAAACAAAGCCAAAAACAGCTTCCTAGTTGTGTCTCTCCACGTGGGCCGCAGTACAGAGACACCGCAACATACAGGCTTGAGCTACAGCATGGTGGGTTCACAGTGTGTGAGCATGAGCTACAGCATGGCAAATTCCTGCCAGCACACTGTATGGTGGATTTAGCTTTTGTTCATATGGACAAAAAGGGTTAAGAAACACAGTAAAAACAGATTTAGACAGAAAGGCCTCTAAACAGGTCACAGTGTGTTTAAAAGATGTGCTTAGGCTTGCAAGAGAAAAGAGAAAAAATACATACAGCCTTAAACTGAAAATACAGATTTAAAATAATAAAGTCCTTAGAAGGAGGAGTAAAATAATATAAAGAAAATGAGCCATTTAATGGTGGAAAATACATAGAGTCTGGATTATGTACGCTGTTGTGTTTTCTTTGGATTTTTTGACTGTTAACAAGCTAACTGCTGATTGTGGAGGCTGCTAGGTTAAACCAATCTATATATTTTTAAAATATCTTGACTTCAAATTTTGAGTCTGAGGATATGTTGCTTTGGGAAGGGGGTTCTGTTTTTGTTTCCACATAAGGTGAGAGTCCATGGATTCATTCCAGGTTGGAAGAGATTAGGTTTGATCAAGGAAGACTGTGGTGATATTTTATTTGTACTGAAATGTGATTTTATTTGTATGTTAATAAATAAAGTTGCCCGGGGTTCAGAGCTATTAGCAAGCCATAGAGAAAGCTAGGCAGTGGTGGTGCACGCCCTTAATCCCAGTACTTGGTAGGCAGAGCTAGGTAGATCTCTGTGTGTTCAAGGATACATCCAGCATTGGAGACACATGCCTTTAATCTCAATACCAACCATAGAAGACCTGGAGGTCTGTACAGACAGGCAGTGACGAGGCGGTCATGTGGTTGGGTTTACAACCAATGAGAAGGCAGAACAGAAAGTCTTTATAAAGACAGACACACAGGAAGTAGGTCTCTTTCGGAGAGGTAGGACCACCGCGATAGTGAAGGGTAAGGTTTTTAGCTCTTAGCTATTGCTGTGACCTCTTGGCTTTTATCTCTGTATTGGCTCTGTGTTTCTTATTTAATAAGATGGTTGGATACTTCTACATAAGACCCCCTGAAAATCCTGACTACAGACATGGGAAAATAAACCTAAAGTAACTTCAAGACACTTGATATATATTTTACCTGCTCAAACATAAAACAAAAAATTGCCTTTGGCTGGCTTGTGTACAATACACAGTTTATGGGGTTGGGGATTTAGCTCAGTGGTAGGGTGCTTGCCTAGCAAGCACAAGGCCCTGGGTTCAGTCCTCAGCTCTGGAAAAAAAAAAGAAAGAAAAAAATACACAGTTTATGTTTATATTAATATATATGTTACCTTTAAAGTTTATATATTTTCAGAACAAGGGGACCAGACACCAATAAAAATGAATGGCCCAGATGATCCAACATTTCAATACACTTCTGTTACAGTTTCCTCTGAGTTCTGCATCCAAACAGCTTCAAGGCTGCTGGCTGAGATGGACCAGCCACACAAAATACCCCATCAGGACTTGACCATAATTCTAAATTTTCTCAGGGTCCCCATAAGATTATCAGCACCCCCAATCAACAGGAAGTAGTCTAGAGAACTATGCCCAAATTCCCAAGATATTATTTATGAATGTTTGTTTTCATTTAAGGGGGATTGGTTATAAATTGTTAATGGCCATAGTCAATCTCTTTCTAAAGAAGAAAGGGGAATATGATATAGAAATGATGGGGAAAAAGATAAATTATTATGAAAAAAAGGGTAGATTATTGAATCTACTTTAATCCAAAAAAGAACTGTTAATCCTAAGATATTTTACATTGGTATGGATTTATTTTATTGATCCAAATTTAAAGTCAATGTTGTTACACTGTATGTATATTTCTACTCTTGTTTAAGGTATGTTTATGCAGCTCATTTAAAAATGTAATGTATAATTAAAAAATACACATTAATAGTCATCTATAGTAGTCAAATTTAGAGCCATATTAGTTAGATTTTCTAGGTATACAAAGATATATTTCAATTAGGTAGGTAATCTTCAAACACTTCTAAGACCTATAGAAGCATTTAAAATGTTTTAAGA